AAACATCTATGGCTGTTTTATGGTGCTGCCTTATTTCCTTGAAATACTCATCATTCAACATAACGATTACAGAGTTGCTTGCTTTCTATCTGTTTTCATGAAATATATCACAAAATTCTGTTTAAATTATATTTAGTCAGGTCTCAGTAAAGCACTTGCTGCTTTATAATCAGCCAGGTTAGTGTACTAACCTTCAAACATGGCTTTTACCTTCTTTATTTAGTCTAGCACCGAACTCCCAAGTTGCACCCTCCCTTCATTCTTGTGAACCTAATGGGGATCTATGGTCAATCTCTGGGGGGTTTCTACAGTATGGACCACTGAACATGGCAGTAAACAACCCAGCCATTGCTCAATATACACTACTCATGATGTAAAACAGTAAAAAGAACAGGAATTGTCTTATTAATTGTGAATCTGAAAGCACACAGTAAAAGCAGAAACTATTAGTAGAGGCTATATTTGTAAAGAGTAAAACAGACAAAGCAGCAGATAAAAAAAAAAAAAAAGAAAGTCTCAACGTTGTTGCTCTCAATCCAGGCTGTGGCCCGTCTACATATCGATGGCCCATTTCCTGACTCCCCAGTGTGCAAAAATGACCTTGCTCTGTCCTTTTTCAATAATATATTCTGAGGCCTAGGAGAAACACTAGCTAACATCAACGTTACAATTTAATGCTACATGCAAGCTACGTTCAACAAAAAGGCTCGGGAACAAGACACACACTGACAGGACAAAATATAATACACTATAAAATATGTTTGCATCAAACAGAAAAATGTTCATGAGCCATTAAAACGGTGTTTTTCAACCTTTTAAACCTCTAGTAATTGATTAAAAAAACACTGATAAAAGGAGATTAAAAAGAAAATTATTATTCTTTTTCAATTAACTATGCATTTGCAACACATAACACATAACAAACATGATCAAAATCTAATTCTAGAAAAACAAGCTATGCATTTTGCAACACATTTTAACAAACATGATCAAAATTTAATTCTAGAAAAACAAGTCTCTGGGGTCGCCAGAAATGTGTCAAAATGGGGTCAGAAGTACCAAAACTACTTGGAAACCACTGCATTAAAAGGTATAAACAAGTGCAGGTCCATACAGTAAGGTAACAGTCAATCGCTGTCAATGAAAATACTTCTATAGAATAAAAAAAAAAAGCACCAAAGCCCTGCACAATCACCACTGTCTTTACCAAAGGTTTACTTAATGCTTTAAATCCAGATGTATCCTCAGCAGCTACATTTGTGTTCCTTGGAATTGCACTGCACCAGAAAACCCCAGCTCTTGGTCCCTGGCCAAGGCTTACGGAGTATCCTGTTTAGGAATTCTCAACACGCAGCAGGAGCAGCGGTGAGGGCGGCGAAACTCTGGGGTTTCCCCTCATCATACGTGACCTTCGGGTCAGCCTGCCTCTGTATCAGGCTGCCTCAATGGACAACAGTGTGTTTGACTGAAGACATAATCAGAGCAGTCTCTCGTGTGTCTCTAAGGAAGACCACAGCAGTCAAACACGTCAGTGTAATAACGGCTGTCTACTTCACCTCACAATTAGGTACGCATCAAATAACATGGACGGACTGTTTTTCATGTACACGGCTGGTTTATATCTGTTGGTGAACATATTTGACTTATTATTAATTTTCTTGTCATTAAAATATAACAAAAACTCAAAATTATGTTTTGTTTGCATCATCATAACTTCCTGTTTTGGCTACGTTGTTTCGGTGATTAAAGTCTTTCACCCGAAAAACCGAAAATGCACTTTAGGGCTATTTTCAAATATTTGGTGCATCCCTAATTTCAACCTATTTATTTATTATCTATTTATTTTTTTGTCTGTTTGGATTTATATTTTTGCTCCATATTTTTCTAACACAAAAAATACATTGTATAATGTTAAGGGTCACAGTCTCAGCTGGAGGCAAAACCAACATTGCAGCAATGTGGTTTTGGGGGGAAAAAGAAGAAGAAGGAAGAAAAAAAAACATTACATATTTTGGTTTAGTGGTTTGGTTTCACTTATTTTTAAACTGGAAAACAAATCATCTAGCTACACACAAAGGCCAGACATTTCTATGGGCATGAGCTGCCATGAAAAAAAAGAAAGAAAATAATTTGATTTAAACATTGCAATTTATGAATTAAAATAAATTATATATATATATATATGTATTTAAATGCATACATCTATAGAGTATGTTTGTGTTATATGTCACGCATACTGTATGTGTATATGTATACAAATATAATTTTTAATTATTTCATATTGTACATCATTGTGTATGTCAATGGCATTTTTAACACAAATATAAAAATCTAATATATATATATTTTTTTACTAAATAAAATTTTCTATTCACATTTGACCTCTTGACATCTTTTGGAGGATCTTTATCATGTTTCCATCATTTGTCATTAACTCTGCAAAGACCTCTGATGCTTTTTCCACAAACAGGACTACAAAAATTTGTTTTTTATTTGAATAAATATGTCCACAAACTGGGGACATTTTGACTGAGTTAACTCAGAAACAACAATAATCTAAATTTTTTTTTTTTTTTTTGCACTGTTTGGAGGAGCTGTCTGTTCATCCTGTGAAAACACCTGAGCATATATATATCAGATAGTGACCGATACTCTATCTGTCAAACACACACTTCTTCCCAAAGCCTTCCATTTCACCCCTCATTTTCTCCTTCAGGTGATGGAGGCTCAGTAAAGGCCCTGGGCCAATGCAGTCCTAGTATGGATTCAATCATGGACCTCTACAAACATTTTCCCACTTTTCTTGCTGCTCTCCTCCACCTCTACTGCTCATGTTCCTCACCTCTGCAGCCACAGGACCACAAATTAGTCCCGGGAGCTGCAAACTTTCTCATTCAGTTTTCCAGACTATTTTTTTTTTCTACCAACCACATGTGTGGAAACCTTGACCGACTGAATACAGACACTGTGTCTGTGATTCTCTGACAGCAGCACAGTGTACAACTAAGAGATGTTGGTTCTGGTTCTAAGGACTGCTATTCCAACTTAAGAGTTAAAAAAAAAAACCAGACACTCACATCATGCACCAGACACAAAGGCTCTCTATTAGTGAACTGCCCATAAAAATATAGGGTTGGCTTACATTTAGGTTTGTAGTTGTCGGGTTAAAGTTCTTGGTAGCTTTATTATCCATATTTTTATTCAACTGGAAAATAAGATTAATGATCTTGGCCATTAATTACCGTACTACACAACAAAGCCAAAAAATCCAGTAAACCAGCATTTCTCTTTGTTGTGGGAGACAGGTTTTTGTTGATCAACTGTTGCCAAAACGAGTTGGTTCAGATACATTATTAAATGACTTCCCATTTATTAGAGTTGTTGTTGTTGAGATTCACCGCTGTAATGCACAACTTATTAAATGAGGAACTAGCGGAGCAGCAACTCTTTCATGTCTACAATGCTAAGTCCTTAGCATCGAGACATTCAAAGCTTCTGCTTCAAAAAATTTCGGAACACTGTTCCGTCAAAACTGCAATTTCAGCTGTAATAAAATCGCAAAATTTGTACCATTTTACCCTCTAAAACAAACAAGCAAAAAGATTGAGAATGAAATTACTTTGCCACACTGGGGTCCCTCGTCAGCAGGATGAGATCCCCATAAGAACCAATGTATTTTGTTGGGGGGAAAAAAATCAGTAAAAAAAAATACCACTTACTTAAAAATAGTGCACACTGCAACTGGATTGTGTCCCTTTTAACTGCCATAATGTCTTCAGACACTGAGACCCCACTGGTTCTTAACACCAAAGCACTCAAAGCCAGATCAATCCTCCATGAGTCCTCAACAATCTCACTTCATCAAACCTTAACGTTCACTTAAACAGCATATTTCCGCCTTTAATTTTCATCGCCTCAACATTCAGAAAAACCCATGTTTTTCAAACAAGGCATCTTAGAGCTGCTATAAAAAAAACTAGTCACTATCATCACATCCTTGTGCTACTTTCTCTTCCCCAACCGCTCATTACCAATCCTTGTGCTGCTTTCTCTTCCCCAACCGCTCATTACCAATCTGTTTTTAGATCAATCAACAGCGCACACTGCGGACAGCGGGAGACCTGGCCTACATGACCCCAGAAACGCAGAAAGGGAGCAGAGCGAATCAAATTTACATGTTATATTTTGAAGGGGAAGTGAAAGTATTCCTCCACATGCTGCCTTCACTGTCTTGTGTTTTAATATGACAGCATCGCTGTGAGTCATATGCAGCTCATCAGAGATCAGAGACTGATGAGTCATAAAAGAAGCCCTGCTGGCCTCCTTCATGTCAGTGCCACATCGATGAGTGAAGTCGGAGCGAAATGAAAAGTAAGCGGAGGAGTGAGATGCGATTAGCACAGCTGCCGCCACCTGGAACCGAGGCCAACAGCTTGGACTTCAGACATGACACAGAGATGGACGGACGGAAAAAAAAAAAAGAAAAAAAAAGTGCAACATAAAATAGAGGAAGACAACTGAAACAACGACACGGCTGAAAAGAAAAGACACTTTCCCAGCGGTCAAACACCACAAAGAGGCTTTTAATGAGCATGGGTACTCACCCCTGGCAGACAACTTCTTGGTATTAATTATTTTGGCAGCGTATTCTTGGCCGGTGGAAATCTTCATGCACCTCCTTACCACAGAGAAGGCACCTCTGCAAAAAAAACAACCAAAAAAACATGAAAAATACATACAAAATACCTAGTCTTAATGATACAAACAGAAAGCAAGCAGTCGGTACTTAATAAGTCATTGCAAATAATATAGCTGACAGTCAAAGTTTCAGGATTAAATATTGAAAAAAAAAAAAAACAAAAAAAACAAACCTTAGACAACTATGCCGTCAAGAGTCGTAAACAGGGACACACACCTCAGCAACTGGGTATTGCTAAGAATCTCACGATTCCATTCGATTTCCGCGGTCACAATTTCGATTCAATGTCGATTCTGTTTCATATTGATCTAAAATTTAGATCAATATGAAACAGAATATCATGCTTCAATGATATTGAAGCATTTAGATTCTAAATGCTTCAATATCAATTCAGTATCAAGAAATACAACATATACAAATATACAAATAAGTAATCATTCCCTTATTTGCTTTAAATATGCTAACAGATATATCACCCTTTCTCCAAAAAGAAAAAAAAAAGAAAACACTTCCCGATCATCCCCACCCACACCTTGCCATTGTACTTGTTGATACTTAAATATTAAGTAACAAAAATATTAATGCTCTAGTGACCCCCGGGGAGGCAGTCACTTGTGTATAGCAAATAATCACCTGACCTACTTATTTTAAGGTTTAAGCAAAAAATAAACTAAAAAATGTAAAACATATTGTGCTGCAAAGCATTTTAGTGAAACTGAAAGTGAATTACAGCCTTGGATGCACAGTACACCACCGCACACAATGAAATGTGTCCTCTGCCTTTAACCCAGCACCCTAGTGAGCTGTGCGCCCAAGGAGCAGTGTGTAGGGACGGTGCGATGCTTACTCAGCGCGCCTCAGTGGCACCTGGTGACTGGTGTACTCAGTGCGCCTCACTGGCACCTGGTGACTGGTGGATTTGAACCTGCAAGTCCGCTTCCTTAACATAAGGCTGCTGTCCTTAAATTGTAAACTGATGAAAACGGAACCAGTGAAAAGATGTTGTATAAAGAATGCGCTCAAATTTATACTTTATACTGATACTTCACATTCAACGTGCAAACTCAAAAACACCCCTGAGCTGTGGCACCGATATGCTATTCTTACTCATGCAATGGTATGGAAGTGGATGGACACGTTTTAAGTCGCTAACAGGTACAAACACGCCGTGTTGCAGACAGCCATGTTGAGTTGGCTGACAGAATGGAGCACGCCCGCCTTCTTCACAGAAGGCTTAAAATAGTCTCTCCTCATTAAAATATGCAGCTGGAATACATGAATGTAAATCACTGTGTTTACATCGCCCGAGCAACCTACAGCTTTTGTGTTACAGATATTTACAATAAATCTGTGGATGATTGGATTTGACAAATCTTCAGAACAAACTGCTAGCCCCAGGCCTGAATGTAGAGTATTACAGTTACATTGGTGGTGCAGTATCTGGTATTTTCATAATGTTGTAAATAATGAATGGATGATGTTTGGGCAGGGTGGTTAAATCTGTTGTCATGTTGTTCAAACAAACCATATTGCAGTCATCTATTGACCACTGCAAACAAGTTGCAGAAACATGACCAGCATGGTGGTGCAGGTGTACGCTAACCAAATAAACAGCAGTTTGGTTTAGAACACTATAGAGGTTACCATTTAACTGACACCATTAAAATTATTGGAATTCCAAGTAAGGGAGAAGCGACATCACTGACACCATTAAAATTATTGGAATTCTACTTCAATCCTGATCATGTGACTTTTTTTGATGCTACGACAAAATTGTGCTAAAAGACAAAACAGAGCAAGATTTTGTACAGGAATACTAAATTAAGCATAGTACTGTTTGATGCAAACCGGTTGAATTAAATACACCATGTGAACCATGGTAGAAGAAAATGGCAAATTGGAAACTTTTATTTTTTCTTGTTTTAAAGAGCTTCTCTTTCAAAACTAAGTAATTCAAAGATGCCCTGATTCTCCATTTGGCCTGAATCGAATCTCATAGACCTTCAGTTATTTTTTTTTTGAAAACTAAAAGATTTACAGTTGCTTGATCTCTTTATTTTGGAGTTAAGTCTGTGGAAAAATACACCTAAAAATTGCAACTTTTAAGGCATGCTGGATAAGAAAAGAAGGTATCGGATTGATATTGGTATTTGCAGATAGTCCATCACAGCAATGATGGAAAAATTACTAAAGAAATTGCACAAAAACCTGCATGGTACATTTACGAATGGTAATTTAATCACTAGTCCTGCATCTAGGTTTTTTATAATCAAATATATGCACAAAATGAAATGAAGCACTTTTATTTAGCACCTCCTTTACCTCAGACCTATTGGAGCCGCAGGTGAAAAAAAAATTGCTTGGAACCAATCCTTGTCATTGCTTTGCTATTTTTAAAATACACCCAAATTTGGTTCTTTGCTCACAGGTCCTGGCAACGAAATTGATTTGGAATTGGAATCAGAATCAGCTTGATTGGCCAATTGTGACAGCAACAGCACATGTCAGGAATTTCTACTTCCTCTGTTACTCTCTTAGGACTAAAGGGGGAAAAAAGTAAAATAAGAGATAAAATGAGATAGAATGACCGGCACGACTATTTAACAGAAACATAGAGCAGAGAAGAAAAGTTGAAAAGGCAGCTAAGAAGACATGTTTATAGATATAAACCGTATATATTCACAATGTGTAAAATTGTATTTTTATGATCTCAAGTGCTAATTATGGTGTTAGAGAGTTTTATGTTAGCATTAATTCTAACTTGAACCTAAGTCTTCAGAGGTCAACATAACCTGTTCATTCCACCTTGAATGGTAAGGGCAATCAAGTTGCTCTTTGGAGTCTGTGGTCTCCTCCGTCATCGGTAACTTTAAGCACTGACAGCAGCGCGTCCTTCAAACATCTGTGAGGCAGACATTTAAGGGGAGCACTCTGCATGTTTGACCTGAGATTGAGCCAAGTGTAATTAATTCAATTCATAGCCTGTTTCGTAGTCACTGTTACGCACAACTGTTTATGTTTGTCCGCACCAAAAAATATGTGCCTTCTAAGTAATACACTAGTACAAGTGAGTACTACAATATCTCCTAAATACTACTGATAAGGCCCAATGGCCATTGTGTACATCAGTAAAAAGTTTTTCATTAAGCTTTTGCCCAGTGGCACACAAGTGTCAGGAAAGTGGTAAGAAAAGTGGGAGCAGCCTACATATCTGTCAATTGGTTCTTATTGCGGTTTTGTTTTATTTTTTATTAATTTTTCTTCAATTGTATATTAAAATGTATACAACATAGATAGATCTAAGTCATTTTTGGTATCACATGTATGGAAAATGTTGGGTATTGGAATTCACTTGGAAAAAATGATGAATTACATTGAATTTAATTTAATTTTAAGAGTTGGACACTGGCCATGGTTTCTAGGTAGGAAGGGTTCGACAGGTGTGCGCATGTATTTTACACAATGACACTGATTGGCCCGCAGATATTTTTCAAAAAACCGTGCTAAAACTGCGATTGTGACGTCACTCTAGCCAGCAACTATTTAACAGATTTGTGTAAATATATCAATAAATCAATGTACACGGTCACTTAAACATAAACACACCAGACGAAGAACAGTCACATTTCTTGTTTACTTCCGTTCAGTGAGGCTGCGCGTCTGACGAAGCTAATCCAAATCTAAAGATCTAAATTTAAACGTAATTTTACTTCGATTTACATATTGCTAGGGGTGAAAATCCCTGAAGCGAACTGTGTCAGAAAGGTGGTGCGATGTGTACAAAACAAACGCATGTTCCGCGTGCATTACGACGTACTGGGTGGCGTTTCTGTGTCGCAATTTAAACTTTTAAATCTCGCTCAACGCCTCCATTAAAACCTCTACAAAATAGAAGCCCACAGTAAGGGCGAGCGACGGGTGTAATAAGTGATTTAAACGGATAAATATAATTAGGGCATAAAAAGTAAAATAAAACACTCAAAACATTTTCGTAATGTGCAATAACGTTGTGTTGTGAGACGTTTTAAACCGAGGTATAAAAAATGTGAGATTTGTGAATGGGATTAGGTAACGCGGTTTACTTTACGAGCAATCCAGGTAGACAAAACAGGTAGGCGGTGGTATGCTGCAGTTTCGGTATATTCAAACAACAACATAAAAAAACCCACATATTTCACCCTCAAAATTCAAAACATTTACAAAACTAATTAGCACTCACTTTCCGAGCTCTTCGTACAGCTGGTACTCATCAGTGAACCTGGTGCAGGTCGTTGTAGCCATGTTGAAGTGAGGGACTCTGGAACCTGAACGCCTCAGCTGCGCTGTTTTAATGTATTATTCTCCGTAAATCTCTTCCACGTCCGTCCTCGTCTCACAGAATGACACTTGTCGCCTATGGAGACAGATAAATTAAGCGGCAAACTCGCAGAATGTTCCTGAAAGTGGGTTCTCGGTGCAGCGTACGCTCGGCGTCTCTCCTCCTAGTACCTGTGCACTCACTCCGGCCAATCCAGTAGTTGACAGCGACGTCGCGACCTGCTGTTGTTTCTCTCTTCACTGACACTTGGATTAGTTAAGCACAGTCAAGGCAGATTTAGTGTGCAATCAAACAATTCCGGTGCTGACTCTTCAAAGTAAAACTCAAACGTTGCAATTCTTTCTACCGGAAATTCCAGTTAAACACACAACCTTATATGTACAAGAGAGAAGAGGAGATTTAGTCTCACCTTGTCTCTTCTCTTCACAACCTTGTTTTATGTTAATATGTTTGTCTTTTGTATCAATTTACTACGTGAATTTGGTGGGAACGATTTCTTAATGTGAGCTACAACAAAAGCAACATCCGGTCTCATCCCTGTATGTGATATGCAACTTGATAAGTTTCGGTCCTGGAGCGTCTTAGTAAGAAACATACGCAATGGTGCCTTCTAGAGGCTAACGTTTGACCTACTATTACCAGGCTCATTCAGGAGCTAGGGAGCGCTTTGATTTAATCCATGTCTGTGTTGTATCTGTAATAATTTTTTCGTGTCATTATAGAACCAGTTTAAGGCAGCATTTTAATATTAAAGTTTATAAGATAGCTTTCTGTGTCAAACTAAAGTCACACCCTCTATAGAATATATTTATTAATGGGATATTTTCAAACCGATGCTCGAGAGCAGGCCTAATTTCCTCTGCTGCCCTCTAGTGATGTATATCACCTTGTACGTCCACAGCTTCTCCACTATAAGTGAGTGCATGATTAGGTTTCGCTTTGCAGACAGAGATGTCCAGATAACTTTAACCCATATTTTACTTTCAATAAATAAATAATAATAAAAAAAATAATACCAAGAATCCTGCTTTAAGTTTTACGTCAGTTTTCGTTTTTAAATAATATCAAGAATTCTACTTTAAGTTTTACGTCAGTTTTCGTTTTTGTAATTTTTAAAAACTATCAAACAGGTCAAACTTATAATTAAATTCGGGGACATTTGTATATTTACCAGTGAGAAATGCAGTGGAAACCTAAGAAAATGTGTTAAATACTACTTTTGCAATCGGACCAAAAACAGTAAGTAAGTAAGTAAGTATTCTTCTTAATACTTCTTAATACGCATTCTTATTTTAAAAGGTAGAACCAGAAAATATTCCCAAAAGATACATTAAAAACGAATTATGTATATTAGATGAGTATGAATGTTGTTGTAAACAACAAAGCATTTCATATTTCAATATCTAAAATGTTGCAAACACTATTGAATTTGTGTGAAATTTGAAACTGCACAGTATAAAACGTCTTCAGGGAACGATGCTGTACGTCGATGTACATGTACACGCTTTATAATGGCCAACAAATGAACCCGAAATCACCGAAAGAGGACGCTATTGCTCCAGGCCACCTGGGTCAGTATAGGTTTTGTTCACTTCCGCCAAAAAAAATCTTCAATGTGGTGTCACATGGTCATTTAGCAACGTGCAAAAATAGAAAAGTGAGTATTTCAACTATTAATATGCATATATATGTATATACATATATAAATATATACTATATACACATATATTCATGCACAATTTCAAGTCCACTCTATGTCAAGTCGACCTTAACTAGTTGCCAATCATGTCAGTTCTTCTTCTTCTTATTGTTACTATTATATTGTTATATATATTTCAGCAATTAATACAAGTCATAGCAGTAGGGAACGCTTTGCACTGATCTGTATTCACTGAGTGTACGGCTTATACATTTCATTTACAGTAAACAGTAAGTGTATCATCCAAAACAAGCAATTCATTTTCAATATATATTTAAGGTCTACAGAGCTCATAGGAAGTGATGCTCCACGTTTCCATCTGGTGGAGGGAGCGGCAAGGACACAAGGTCAGACCGTAAGACCCCGGAGGCCGCAGCTGAGCTTTAACTTTTACTGAGAAACTAAAGGCCAGTCGCTCACATCCAATCTGCTGTCGCAGTCTGTGCAGAGCTACAGTTTTACACATATGGCGTTTTATAAGAAAGAAAAAAAAAGACAAACTAAGAGACAGATACTGAATTTTAAGGATCCTACGACTCAAATTCTGTATTCCCTAAATTGTGTTATGAGTTCTGTTATGTTAGTGTTATTCTTCCTTTCTTTCTTTAATTTTTACAACAGCTTTTAAATCAGTGATGCTGAATTTTAATATCTGATTTTACTATTAGACAGTTCTTGGCTCGCACTGGATACACACTCCTGCCAGGCAAAGAAATCCTTTTAAAGCAGGGGTCTCAAACTCATTTTCACTGGGGGCCATATCAGGAATACAGTTCCCCTTGAAGGGCCAGTTGTAACTAGAAGATTATGTAGACCAGAGGTCCCCAACCCCTGGTCCGTGGACCAGTACTAGTCCATAGGGCATTTGGTACCGGGCCACCGTGGGACATACTGGTGCGTGGACCAGTACCAGTCCATAGGTCATTTGGTACCGGGCCACAGTGAAAAAATATACTTGATTTTTACTAATATACTTCATTCAAAGAAAATCCTGTGATATGCATTTACTTTCTTTATTTAAAGATAATCTGGCAATATTTTAAAATAATAGTTCATTCAGACTCTGATACAAACAGAATAGAGTTTGAGAGATGTATTATTTTGAAAATGTAATGATCCTTCAATGCTCAGCACCTTGGTACCTTGGTCTGTAGTAACGGGTGGTACTGGCTGACCAGTCCTTGGAGCAAAGAACATTGGAGACCGCAGGTATAGATGTAACTACTCCATAACAGACTAATACATGTTTCTGCAACTGATATTGTGTTATTGTAAACTGTTATTTATTCAAGCTACAAATATTGTTCATTGCTGTGTAATAAAAAAACTTGTAATTTCTAAGGTTAAGAAACTCTGCTGCATGGACTTTACTAAATGTTTTTAAGCTCCTTCGGGCCACACAGAACGGCTTGGCGGGCGGCATTTGGCCCCCGGGCCTTGAGTTTGACACGTGTTTTAAAGCGTCCTTTAGAGTACAGTAATGTCATGCAAAACAAATCTCCTTAAAACACAGTAGTTTATCACAAAAGAAACCCTTGCAGTATAAGTATGGTGACGTGTGGCAAACAAAACCCTGCTATGATACTGTTTTGTCATTTTTTGTATTATGTTGTCAACAGGAACTTTTAAGAGAAAGTGTACATCTCAGTCATTGTGCCCAACAATAAAACTCTACCTGTGAGCCATTACCGGTTTGTCAGCCTGGATTTAAAGGTCCCACAAGGTCTCGTTTCCTTTGACTTCCAGGTCTAACTTTACTGGCATTTCCTCTGAACCCCGGGACAAGCTCCTTAAATGCTGCCCGTCTGTCTTGGTCATGGAATATATTGCAACCCATAAGGTTTATGCTCTTACGGTGTCTCAGATGTTGAGACACCGCGACAAGCTGTTAGCGTATGATTTATTAGAAGGAGACATTGGTGGACAAAGACAAAGAACGCTGAATGCTAAAACACAAGAAACCCATATGTTTTCAGTTAAACAAGTTCAAGTGAAATTTTTGGTCTTTTAGCAACGCTTTTGAAGATAAGTTAACTTAAGATACCTATGTTTTTTTCTTAGTTTAATTTGCTTTCTGGAATGTTTTTTTCTTTTGCAGTTTCAGATCAGATCAGATTAATCACAGGGCAGCTGTGGAATAATTACAACTAATCAAGATTAATCGTGATGATAATTGATGATAATTGAAAAGTAGTAATATTCCTTAATATGACGAAGACAATTTTATGTATAATTCTGGAACATGACAACAGCAAGTAACAGCAGATAGATGTGTCTTATATCTTTGCCTATTACAAAATTTAGCTCCATAGAGTTGGTGGATGCATGAAACAAAATGATCCAGTTTCCGTTTACTAACTGAGTAAACCCCGACCTGTTTAGTTGAACACAAAACTGATATTATCGCAGGAATTGAAGAAACACACACACCAAGATCTTCTTTAACGGCTTAGATTCACTTGCTTTTTTTGAGCTTTTACAGCCATCTGCTGCCACCTAATGGACGAGTATTTAATCATTCCACCTCTCACTGTCTCTGGCGAAGGGAAACAAGACAGGGAACAGGTAGCGCTTGAGCTTCGTTGCTAATGAGTGAAGTTGTACAAAGATAGATAATACTGATAAAATGAGTGAAGTTGTACAAAGATAGTTGTACAAAGATAGATAATACTGATAGCTGTATGTTTCCAATAAAAAAAACCTTTTTGTTCTTTTTGAAATATCTTCAAAAATATGTCACCCTGAAAATTAAAAAGGTTGGAAATAATTGTTTGTGTTTGGTAAATTGAGCTGTGGCTGAAGCCACAGGAAGCAATATTGGCTTTTGTATCGTACCACATTACCATAGCACTTTTCCCTTAACGTGAATATGCAGGGTTTTAACCAAGCAATATCCTAAAAAGTAGGATTTATCAATCACATTCTATACTCTGTTAGTCTTTAGTAAACAAATTCTAATTTGTCAGACTTCTCTACACGCTTCTCAGAGGGATGAATGGAAGGGTTGTCCTGCTGCTGAGATAATAATACTTACTAATAATACGAAGTTTATTGATCCAACAAAAATTCTTGTGTTAACAGCAGATCTGCTGTAACAGGCTGCCCCTTGGAGGCGCCAAGTATGTGGTTTCTCTGGGAATCAAACGCAGGACTACCAGCTCTATGCCTTCGAGTCACACTGTGGACTCGACTTGATGGAACTCTGGTCCAGGATTGTCCACCCTTTCATTGCCTCTGATTTCCTTCCCACACCCTGGCATGTGACAGGTGGAGCGCTTTAAAGTCTGCACACTGAAATGCATCCAGTCTTTTTTCTTCATTACTGGCAGAGAGCGAGAAGGAGTAGGAGGAGGACCAGGACCGGGACCAGAACTGGGTCTCTGCCAGTACAGTGAACAGCTGAGCGAGTCACTGTAAGGCCAGATGGGAGGAATCAAGAGCAAACGACACCCCCACCCTCTCCCCCCTCCCTCCCTCTCCCTCTCTCCGCACCTCCCTTCACTGACATTGACGCTCTCAGCTGGTCTA